TTTGCCATTAAGCTGAAAGTCTATTCGCACCCAAAAACACACCATAGAAATATAATAAAACTGATTCCCCACAAATACTGCAATACAGTCAGAAGGTGTTTTCTACAACATCAAAGAACATCTACTTTCCCTCTTGGCGGTGTGTAATCCTCTTGTGAGTCTGCTGGTGTTGTCTAAATTTGGCTTGGTGGCTCACTAGACCCAACAGAGGCTTAATGGCACCAAATCGGTGGGATTCTTACCATGCAGAAATGAAGGACACTGGCCTAACCAAGGACACTGCTAGCCTGACAGATTAGACACCAGACGGATTAAAAAGAGACATTAATTAACATAAAAAAACAACAACGGTTGAACGACGATGCAACAGGTCCAAACCCAGAACCGGCCATGCAAGCTTTAGCTTCTCATCACTATAATCTGTGAAAAGAACAAAATCCCTGAGTGACAGCTGGCCCATCAGTCAGACTGAACCCATGGCACTTTTGCGACTGAATTCGGAAGACAACTGGAGCATTAGAAAAAGGGGCTTGACAGCAACATGTACATGTCTTCATCATCAATTTATAGTCTGGTCATTTTTCTCCAGTCTGTCGTCTTGTCTTTCAATAGAGCTGCTCTGTGATTAATGAGCGGTCTGGAATGTGTTCAGGCAGTGACATACAGTGAGACTATTATGCCAAGTGATCTATACAGCCTTTGATGAGCAGCCCTTCCTGCCACAACACTGGGAAATTCCATTTTATGAAATTTGAGTACATTAGGAGAGCATTTTAGCATTATTATCTAATCATCCAGCCAATGTTTGTTCTTGTGAACTTCTCTCCTCTGTGATGGGTGCAATTGAACAGGCAATGAGAGATAACTTTAACAGCACACTGCATATGAGGTTAATCTGAGCGACACACTTTCATAAAGAAACAGCACCACTAAAACATCACTCTAGTTCCCATTTCAAACTTATCCAATTACTTTAGAGTTGAATGTTCGAACTACGGCTCTAAAAAATGACAAAAACACATCAAAAGTATCCTAAAACTTCTATATGTGCACTGTATTTTAAGTTTATATGAGGAATAGACCCACATATTTATTTAATGATATCTCAAGAAGTGCTACAGCAGGTTTGACATTGTGTAAGGATGATGCCATGATGGAGGGAAACATTTTAAGTAACAAAAAAAAAAGAACCGTTAAATGTATTAGTATTAGTACAATATAAAATATGATGAAGCTAAACACACTTCAGTGTTTTGTCTCATTCAAGCTTGTAATAGTATCTGAAGATTTGTGAAAGTTTAAGACGAATCCTCTGAAGGGGAAAATGTCACAACATCGACATTTTGGTAGCACAGGATAAAAGTTGCCAGTGACACTTGAAATATGGATATTTATCTTACAAAAACGCATGGGTTCGCTACAGGAGGCCTTTATTCACCCTCCGAAGCCGTGTGAGGGACGTTTTATTATGGATGCGTGCACTTTATTTCACATCTTCTGAACTGTTGACAACCGAACACCCGCTTACCCCCATTG